CCCTGGACGAGTCCGCCTGGTGCTCTTGGGGCATGATCCTTGTTCTGGGTGGATCTGATCTCCACTATGTCGTTGCCGCCAACCCACGCCGCATCGTAGGGGGGGAAGTGCGGCTTCGTAGCACGCTCTTTGGGCTGTGCACGTGGCGATTGCCATGCACCAGGCCAGTAAGACCAGTTGGCGCCACCGCTTCGCCATGGCGCCTGCTGGCTCTGTTGAGCCCGAACTTGCTTTCCTCCTCTGCCCATGCCTGCGGCCTGACGAAGTCGGTGGAGAAGAGGCCCTTGCGATGCGTGGTGCACCGAGAGCACCTCCAGCTGCAGAGGGGACAGGCGTCGTCCCTGCCGAAGACGCCGTCTTGCCTTTGAGCGTAGTGCTCGAGCGCGTCGATGCCACGAAGGTGAGGCGGGGTGCTTGCCGATGGCTCGCGAGGCTCCCTATGAGCCGATCGTGCGCTCCAGCGCACTGGGGCAAACAGTCTTCCAGCCGCTGCTGGCTATCTGAGCCCTCCAATATATATATATATATATATATGGGTGGTTGTCAAAATTAGGGTCCCTTTTTGGGTACCCTAAATATCAGGTGCCGTATTATATTACGGACCCAGAAAGGGACCATAATTTTGACAACCACCCAGATATATTAGTATAGTAGCACGAATTATCCGGCCTTGAGCTGCTCCTCTGCCATGGCTGTGAGCACAGCTGCCGGGTCCAAGTGGGGCCCCAGTGGCGCCAGGAGCTTCGATGCTTCCGACATGCGGCCCTCGACCACCAAACGTGCACCTGGGCTCTGCGGCTCTCCGGTTCCCGGGCCTGGGGTTCCTTTTAAAGGGCTCCTTTAAACGGATCCTATAAGGAGTTTAAGGTTTAGGGCTTTAAAGTGTGTGGCTTCCTTGGCAAAGGTTGGTTCAATTTTCCGCGTTTGGCCCTGAAGGCAAGGAACTCACCACGGCAAGGCCCTCCCGCCACTTGCGACCTCCTGGATCTAGGGACTGTGCCATCGGGGAAGATGCCAGCTCCAGTCCTCACCAGCTCAGTAGCTAGCAGCAGGGCACGCACAGACTGAACTGTCAGCCGACATCAGCCGACCTTGCCGCATCTGCACGAGAGCCATAGACTCCGAAAGCGGCAGCGGCCACCGACTGATTGCAGAAGAACCTGCCGCAAGGTCAACTTAGGCTCTTTGATCCACAGTCTCATGTCTTCAACAAGCCTCCATTGAACTGTCAGAAGAACTTTCTGAAGCATTGTGCCTTCCGCCACAGCCTCCTTCGCCATGCAGCCACGAAAGATTTGCCAGGCCTTCTCGACCAAGTTCACTGGGCTTGAAGAGTGGCAGGGTCCCAGCGTTACAAGGTCTATCTCCTTGTCGCACCCTACTTCTGTCTCAGCTTTGAATTCCTTCATGCACTTCCACACCTGCCACCATGTACTGGGTATCCTGGAGCCGGGTCTTTCAAGAGTGTCACTCTTCTCAGAGCAACTTGGAGCAACAGGGGCACCGACTCCAGGTTCGATGAGGCTTTCATTGTAAGTCAACGCAAGCCTGCGGATGACTGATCCCAGGCGCAGATGCGCAGCACTTCTGTGCTCGAGGGAACTGGACCTTAGTGCCTCCTCATACATGTACGCCGCTTCTTCAAGAGGTTCTCGTCGGCCCCGTGCACCGGACTCAAGAAATGCACCAAAAATCACAAGGCCCATTGCTCGGAGCGGATCAGAGACCGGTAGAAGGCAAAGCCGACGAAAATGCCCCTCTGCTGCATGTCGATCTGCATCTTGGAGTTGAACAGCAAGATTGAGCCGAACCTTTGGGGCATCCGCCACAGTGTCCAACTGCTGTTCTTCAGCCAAACTCAGCGCTTTCGCATAGCTGGCAATGGCAGCTGACCTGTCACCACCAGTTGATCTAAGCTGACCCAAAGTGGCATGAGCATGCCAGTATTCGTCATTCAGCCGAATAGCCTCTTCAGCATGCCACATGGCCTCCTGAAGATCCCCGCCACTGTTTTGAAGTCTGGTGGCCAGAAGATCATGCAGCTTCTCATTGGAAGGATTCGCAGCAATGCCGGCACGATACAGCGACTCTGCAGTCCCCCACACCAGACTCTGCTTCAAGCAGCCACGAGCCCAACTTCCACACCATGTGACGACAATCAGCAAGCTCACGCATCTGCAAAGCCGCGCCGGAGGTCCGCGAGCCGGCAGAGACACGCAGAGAACGTGAGCCATGATGGAGCAGGCTGCTATAGATGGAATATACAGCACGCGTTCAGCGACGGCAAAACCCACGGTGAACAAGACATTCGAGAAAGGCACTATTGACAAAGCCATGAAAGCACTGGATGACAAGAGTCCTCGATGGTAAGAACGAGGGGCACGGCAGCCTGGCGTGGCAGTGTCGTGAATCATGTCAAGTGACTGCACAACACACGGCTGGCAATGCTTGTAGTGCCTCTGGGACAGCTTTTCACTGCTACGATATGAGCAAAATGACAATGCGGTTTTGTCGCCGAGATACTGGCCAGCCCAAGCAAAGCCGCAGGAAGCCCGTAGATGACGCAGAAAGGCCCAAAACTTCGCATATCTGCAAAGCTGTGGAGGAGGGGAATGGAACCATAGCTCCAATCGCAGCAAAGCGGATTCGGCCAAAGAAGCAGGACCAAATGCCTGGACAGAGCACAGGTCAATACATGCGACTAAGCACGCCTGTGCCGGGCAACACATGAGCGACAGTGAGCCTGTAAAGATAGAAGTGAAGGCTGAGAATCCGTGTCGCCATGTTCTCTGCGAAAGCTGCAGGGTTGGATTCACGATGCAGAAAGGGACGCTGATGGATACCGCCGTGCAGAGATACCCGCGCAACCAGCAGCACAGCCAAAAGCAGCAAGGGCAGCGCTGTCTTGAGTCGAGATGAAGGCTTCTTGAGCGAATTGAATGTCTGCATGACTGTACACATCGGAAGAGCTACAACTGCTGCTGTCTCCTTGCAAAGCAGCGCCAGTGAACCCAAAAGCATCGACAAAGGCCAGCGCTTGTTGGACGGCGACCACAATAGAATGCTCAATATGGTGAATAATGCTGCAAGAAGTTCAGCACGACCGACTAGATTCGCTACTGCTTCGACATGCACTGGATGGCATGCAAAGAGCATGCCGGCAATGAAGCATTCCTTGCCGCTGAATCCGAACTTCCGGTATAGTGGAACCAACAAGGCTGTGTTGATCCCGTGAAGAACCACATTGGTGCGATGCATCATGTTGGCAGCCTGTATGTCAGCAGTATTTCCCATTTGAGACATCTGGACACGAAACGTCAGAGTGGTCAGTGGTCGAAAACTTTTGTGGCTTTTCTCCGACTGAAGCGGAAACCCCCAAAAGTCATTCTTGAGCAAGTTCGCCAGTGGTGATGAAGAGTACACGTCAGGATTCTGAACGATCGCATATGTGTCATCATACACAAAGTCCCCTGTCAAAGCATTCCTTGGACACCGAAAAAGAGGAAACAAACTTGCAAGAGCAACTCTGGTGTGGCTAGCATTACAACTCGTTCCAGGTAGTGGGTCACTGCAGCCTTGCTTCCAGAACACAGCACAAGCAAAGCCACCGCTTGCTGCAGAGTAGAGGAAGAGCTTCCCCAAGGAGCCCACTGCAAAGCATGGCATGCCAGCTTCCTACAGCAAATGCAGATATGATGTGCCCGGCAGTTGCGGCAAATGATTGCAAATGCTAAAACGACATGTTCGCCAGCGACTTCCAGACTACGGCCTGCTTGCCACTGGGCCAGGTCGTGGCCATGAGCCAACGAAATCTGCACAAAAGACAATGCGCTCACCAGCATCTCACGTGTGCAAACCGCGGAAAGTAGCTCAGCATCGTACCGCCTACATGCCACCTATGCAAAAGAAGATGTTCATATCGCTGCGTGCTTGCAGATATCCATGCTTGCCTTTCCCGGATATACGCACTTTTCCAAAGGCATGCCTGTTCGTGCAGCGTATGCACGCGTCTGAATAGAGTATATGGTTGTACCTCCAAGAAAGTCATACATATGAGTATGTGCACCTCCCTCTATGTGTTCGGCGACTAGGTATGCAGGGGATTGCTGCGCTGCCACACTTTTGCGCACTCTTACCTGCGCGTAGATACTCGCGCAAATGATAAACTTCCCAAACCATGCAAATACACACACACACACATGCCCCTCAATCGACATGGATGCATGCGAGCACAAACGCATACCTTTATAAGATATGAGTAGATGAATACATCTGTGCAGCATGTGTGCGCCCACATTTCAATGTACCCATATACAACGGCAAGCATACATCTATGTAACAAATGTATGCCAGAATACATATCTTGAAACCGCACACATGGTGCTTTGCTTTTCTATGCCGAAGTATGTACCGGCGGATGTGTTGGAAAAGACACGTACCGATATGTTGAAACATGCGCATAAACGACCTTGTGTGATCATACATATTCTTGGGTTGGTTAACCAGACTCAAGCTCATTTGCACATCAGGGTTCCGACAAAGGTACCCGAGCATATGTGCTATGTGCCGACTCACACTTAAACATGTTAATATCGCTGCAGAGGTAGCACACCTTTGCGATTGATGCATTCACATGTGCATGTCATGCCAAAGCATGCTTCTGTGCAAGCATCCAGACATGGAGAAGTGCATTCATAAATTACATCTGACCATGTGAAGGAAGGATGGAGTAATTGGTCTCGTTGAGCGCACCGGTTGCTGCTCCGTCTGCGGTTGCCGGCCTGGTGCGAGAAAGACAGCGCAACACTGCAACACGGGCTGTCATCTTCGATTGATTGTGGGGAGAACTCCAGGTCATCACCGTCACAGGCTGCCTGGCAGTCCCCCACAAAGTGTTCGCAAGGACCGCAGGTTCCAGGGTGTCTGCTTGTTGCAGCCTCGGTCAGATTCTTGAAGCCTCTCTCGTATCGCGCTTCATGTAGCCTACTCTTTGCTCGTTGGCTTCAGGACTTTCGGGGAGGGGCCCTGCATCTCTCGGAGGACTGTGGCAACAGCTCTTCGGCCACCCCCTAGGACCTCTGACCCATGCACTATGCCTGTACCTGCTATCTTCAACCCCCATTGGCTGCAGGAAATCCCGGTGTGGAATCTAAGTCTTGGCCTCACCGTCACGGGCTACACTTCTATGCTCAGAACGGAGTATTACCACAAAAATCTACTGCTGCTGCTGCTACTGCTGCTGTCACCACAACGCAAGATTACATCATCTGTACCATCGCTGAAAACACCTGTTTAGCGTGCGTCTACTCCGCGGCTGAGGGGAAGATACAGCTTGCGAACACCCTGCTTAGATCGTTTGCGTAGAAATCGACATGCATGCTGATGTAGGACAGAACCGGATACTGAACACGAAAGCTAATAATGGGAAACTCTTAAACAAGGAGGCACACCCAGACACAAGGTGACAACTTGTTCTTCTGAGGTGTCGAGGGCGGCAATGATGTTGTGCACCGAACTGTGTGCATTAACATAACTCCGTCAAGGCGAGGGCATGATTGCAACTGCTTCAGCTCTCGCCCAACCGGTCGACAAGCAGCTATGTGTAACATGAATTATAACGCGACCGACCATGCCATACGAGGAAAGGGCGGAGAAAGCGACAATCGAGCCAGGCGCGCTGTGAGAAGTTCCCTATGACATATGAGCCGGAGCTATAGCTAAGTCTTTCCTGGTCCAGCTGCAGGGTCCGCGGCTGGATGCCCGTTCCGTAAGTACCCGGCTGCCGCAAGACACGGCGCACGAGGCGGACCTGAGCACAAAACAAAGTAGCAGCTGTCACTGTTCTTGAGACAACAACTCCCAAATGCCAAACCTGAGGAGGTGGCAATAGCGGGATCCTGGCCTGTGCATCCATTCACCCATAACTCTTCAAGTCTTTGATTTAGCATTCCCTCGCACGAGCCTTCCGCATTCGCTCCCTGGCATTTTTGCATCATCAACAGGCCGGAGACACAACGAAACGGACTACCTCTGCCACGCCCTACAGAGCCGCGACCAGCTCATGAACCTGCCGAAGCAGCTGCGCTTCGGAAATGGCTCCATGACGTTGCCATGCCTCGCCTCTCGCAGCCCGAGCCGCTCGAGGAAGGTGAAGGCCTCACCCGGGGTCCGTGCTCGCACCGCCTGCAGACCCAAAAAGCAGCGAAAAGAGTAGCCAGCAAGCGCAGGACACAGGCAACAATTTCGGCCGGAATTCGCACAAACTAGACGTGCTTTGCCCTCTCCTCGCGAAGCTGTCGCAAGGCCACGGCATCGGACGAACCTGTGCTGTGCTACTATGTATCAGTTGCTTCATTCCAGAGCTGGGTAACATGGCTAGGAAGTTCCCGAAAAAACATTCGCATCTCGCTCCTGCAATAATAAAGTATAGGGGTCAAGCGTTCACAAAAAGAGTTAGTATCATATCCCAGACTCATGTAGCCTAACCAAAGCGACAAAGCGCTTCACTTTACGATGGCCAATTCCCTCTGTGGTGCTGTGCCTCTTTGTCGTCCGCACATGCAGTGAGAACAAACCAAGACTTTGCACTGCAAGGAAGTGTATAGCCAGGCGCTTTCGGGAACCGACCCTTAAAGGTAAAACTATGCAGCAATTGTTCGCGCAACACGCTCCGCAGAAACAGTCCTTGCCAAGCCCTGTTGGCTTGGCCGTTGCACGGTCCCCCCGGCAAGCCAGAAAGAGAGGACCATGGAAGGTGACAGCATGCTGCAACTCCGTAGGCATTTGCCCAGGGAGCCAAAATCAAACTGCATTGAGCTCTTGAAATCTGAAGTTGGCCACTCTATGGAACAAACAGTGACAAGCATGAAACAACGCAGTGGCCGTGCCCCAAACATCATTTTCTAGTCACAAAGTTCGGCCACTTCAAGGCAAAGATGCCGGCCGCAAGTACCATCAAACGATGGCACTTCGACGTTTCTGTAGAGAAGCTGCTGAGCATGGTGGGACAGGCACCACACTGCTAAACTGCTAGCTAAACTGCCAGACTCTTAGACGGAATCTGCTTGAAATCCATTGAAGCTTCAATCCAGAAATGGTCACAGCATCTGCCAGGCTCTGAAATGGTTCGCTGAAAGCCGTCAGGGCACCAGTGCACTGTGGCCGTTTTCATCGGGTCCTCTACGACAAGCAGGGCTGAAGCTGCAGCGAGTCACAATTGGAGCAAAGCCCTGCTGTGACGGGATTGCTCAAATCTCACGGTCCTCGCACTCATTTGGCCACTTGCATTCCTGCCGGGCAAGCATGTCCAGGTAAGTGGACGTGAACATTGCGGATGGACCTGCTACGTCTTTGCTGGCAACACCCGACCTGCGGACACCAGCTTCTTGTACTCGTCGAAGCTGAGCTTTCCATCCTTGTTGAGGTCTGCACCTGGGAAAAACCGTTCGTAATTTAACAGGGCGGGAATGTCTCTGTCGTTGCCACACATCACTGCATTCAGACAAGAACGTTTGAACACCGCGTCGATCTGGTCGTCAGACAGTTCCACCTTCATTTTACCCAGCACCTGAAAATGGCTTGCAGATCTCTGGATCTAAGCACACAAGCAGACAGCCAGCAAGAAGTCCGTAGTTGATGCCGGGCAGCTGTTTTGAGTTCAGCCGCCTCGATGTACTTGGAAGCATTGGTATCAATGTCATCGAAAGCTGCTTTGAGCATGCTCAGCTGCTCATCCGTCATCTCCGGTTCCTCTGCCTTCTCAGGCTTGGCCTCGGTAGAAGGGGTCTCCCCTGTTGCCGGTGCCGCAGCGGTTTCTGCTTTCGTCTCGACTTTCGCAAGCGCTTCTGTGATCTTCTTTTGCTCCTGGCTCAGTCGTCACATGCCGTTTATCATAAGTACTGTAGCACTGTAGCCACAAAACTGCGGCAGAATTATGCTCACTACTTTCAAAGCTGTCCTCTGCGGACAGCGCGCCGAAAGTCTCCTTGAGCTGAGCTGGAGTTGCGTCTTGCACGCCGGATGCCACAGCAGATGCTCCGCTTCCCATGTTGGCACGTGCAAAATTCTCTGCTCAGTATACTGACAGGATCAGGAGTTGCTCGAACCAGTCACGTAACGAATGCATCTCAACAAAAGCGAATAACATGCAGACATGGACAGCTCAAGCACTGGAAATGAATCCAGGCAGCAAGCGCAGAGTTATGATGCAGGACATTGCACCCCAAGCCACCTGGCCTCTTCTCAGCCTTCTGGACGTGGTTCCCGGGTTAGATGTGCCCTGGCCGGAGTTCTACATGCTCTTTGCGCCAGATCGCACAGCACACCCAACTTGCCAAGACCCCGGCCTCCATACAAGCACCCCATAGCTCTTGCTGTGCTGTTGTTCGCAGCCCTACAAAAACTTCTGTTTCCCAAAGGCGGAGGCTTGGTGAGGAGATGGATGCAACTCTTGTCGCGTACAGCTTTTGTAGCCACCAAGTTTCAAGCTTGGCCATGGTATGCTGCTGATCCATGTTGGTGCTGCAGACAACTCTGTGCCACGTGCACCGAAAACAAAATGCTCGAACCATAGAAGCCGAAACCGTTCTGGCCCGAGCAACATTGCATGACATGACGTCTTAATACCTTGTTGGACATTCGAATTTGTACCCAATGCCTCTTGGCACATACAACTGTCGCAGGATCAAGACAAACTGCGTGGCCGTATGCTGCTGCCAGTGTTGTCGCACTTTTAGCCAGCTCAGAACTGAGGCTGCCTGGACCAGCAAAGCCGGGACAGGTTCCAGTCCTCCTGATGTCTCACAGGCACTGGTCAGTACGTCGCCTGCCGAAACTGCTTTGACTTTTTGTTTCGACTCCACTGCTTTGAGGACATCTATCTGTCACACCCAGACTGAAACGACGAGCTGGAGGGATGTGCAAACGGCCAGTGCACGTTTGACCAGCTGCTTTCATGACGAGTCACAGGCCAACACGTCTCCGATGTTGGAGGGAAGCTGCTGCTGTAGCAGCAAAGCCCGGTCCCAGATTTTTGAGAACGAAAGGGTCCTGATCATGAAAGGCCGGCAGATCGCTGAGTTGCTACAACAGACCGTGGCAACCAAGCATCGTCATGATGGAGCTGCAAGCGAGATCGTCATACTTCAGCATCAGCAAGTTGAAGCCCTGATGACAAGACAAGACTGCAAAGGCACCACGGCAACTACGTTGCTGGCAGGCCTGGAGAGCATGCAATGCGGTCGGCCATGCTGATGCCAGCAGAGAAGTTGCTGAAAAGTGATCTGGACGGACGGCGGCAAGCCTCTCGATGCTGTAACAGGTTCTCCGCTAGAACGGAGTCTTTGAGGTGGTCACAAACCTCTGCTCACTATTTCTAAGCATGCTTTCTCGGGCGGTTTGACAAACAAACGCATCCATCCTCAGTTGTCCAATGAGCTCTGCAGACCATCTCCAGCGCTTCCCGCTCTGACACGCAAAGGCAGCGGTGTTGATGGCAGCAACCGAAAGCCCAAATCCTGCCAGGCAGGCACCAAGGAAACAGGCAGTCGTATCCATGTCGAAGTCTGACGAGCTCCCTTCCAACACACGCATTCACCTGCCTTCCTGCATGGCTTCGTGTATTCCTTGTGTTGCAGATCGCCAAGCATGGCCTTTTGCAGCTGCGCTGAGAGCTGCCTGGTTCACCTCAAGTTGCCATAAGCCAGAGGTTCCGATGACTGCTCTACGGCTCCGGAATGCAACTGGTCTCGTTTAGCAAGGCCGGATCAGCCATCCGAAGCTTCAAGCCAGAGTGCAGTCAAGTCCAGTTGTGTGGAGAGCCTGTGGAACGCACGTAGCAGCCGCGCCACAAATTGCCAGCGCTGGCCCCTGAAGATTTCAAGCACCAATAAGCCTAAAACTCCACCAAACCCTACACCCCAAACGCCCTTCAAAAAGCTCCAACGCTGAAATTTGTAACACTCTCGAACCTCTAACCCTAAAAATTAAACTTTAAACCCCAAACCCTAAACCCGATGGATAGCCAGAGCCTCTCACAGCCGGCCAAGGTGGATGCACACGTAATTGCATCAGGCCTGGGGTTTGGGATTTCGCCGTTTCGGAATCAGAATTCTGAAGTAAGCATCTGGGGGCTGCTTAAGGTTTGGGTACAGAGAAACTAATAAATAAAACTGATAAGACCTACTCTGCATGACGGTGGTCTATGCAGGTGCAAGAATAACGCGGACAGTGCACACGACTCACACACAAACACACACCAAAACTCTTTCTCCGCAGACCCGTCCTCGGGCCACTTGAGCACATCATCTTGCTGAGTATCCATAAGGACATCTCCCATCGACTGCCTCTGTGGCAGGCTGTGATTCCTGCAAGCAGTACTTGATCTTGACATGTCTTTGGCTCTGCGCTATCCCAAGGACCTGTTAAATCGGCTAAACCGTAGTCAACTCATAAGCTGTGCTCCTGCATTCAGTGTCGGCACTGTCAGCAAAGATCCATCACCCCACTGTGACAGGAGTTGGAAGACTTCGCGCCATGCACGTGCAAGAGAGCTCAGCACCAAGCTGGTCGACGAGGCTCCAGGCTGCAGGGAGCAAGGCTTCACCACTGACATGCTCTACGACTACCAAGTGCACCCCGGAAAACGGCGCGGTTCAATCAGACCTCTACCATCAACAGCGATCTGGCATCGGCCCACTTGGCAGACTGGGTTCGGAGTGCAGCAACCGCTGCATTGCCACAGACCTGTGGCAAAAGGTCTTTCAGATTAGCACAAACAAACTGGCTACCCCAACCAACACAGGCCTCATTCGGGTAGAGCGACCGGGGACGCATCTGCCGGAGTGCTGCAAGTGTTACCTGCTGCTTTCAAACTTGAAACATTCTGCATGAAGCAGTCTCAGAAGACAAGTGTACATCTGTGCCGCCCAGAACAGCACCTGGCACCACACATGCAACAGAGTCGCTTCCCAAGCAGCTGCTCTTCTGGCTGTGGTCAACATGGCACCGAATGTCACCAGGTGCAGCTTCACGCCATTACAAGCATCACGAAATATTGAAAGCGCAGTAGGCCATTTGGCGTGGATCTCACAGGCAGAGATTCCTCCGGCGCCCGGCACGCGTTTAAATCTCAGTGCTTTTGCTTTTCGGAAAGCTTCGTTCAAATCTAGTATCTGAGTCTAAACGTTGAACATTTACCGCTCCTGCGTTGAACGTCACCACGTCGCGGCTTAGGTCCTCTGTCTGCAGCAGTGCGGACAGGTGCACTGCCTGCTTCCAGGCACCCCCTCTGCCACAGGCGGAAATGCCCGAGTTGAAAGAGATGTGATCGTGGTCGAGCCTCGACCTGTCGCAAGACCTACAACATGCTTGCTGCAACCCAAACAGTGTCGAAGCAATCCTTTGCTTTGCGCGAGCGGCTGCTGCCTTCGCATGGCACTGAAGGCACATAAAGCCCTCAGCCATTTCGAACCTCTGCCGATTGCGGAGACCAGTGCGTTGCTGAGTGAAACCTCGCCACATTTCTCTCCCAGTATCGGCAGACAGATTTGTCCAACAGCTGTAGCCAAGCCTCGTGCTTTCTGTTTCTCAGGTCCCGACATCGAGTTGCAGTCTTCTTGGAGATAGGTTTGCGACAACGTCCGATGCCTTCCAGATAGGACCATGAAGCCGAATCCCCAGCCAGACATGTGTGAAGCACCCACCCCCACATGGAGCTGCATCCAACATCCATAAACCATTCCAGCAAGTTTGGACTGCAAAGATAAGGTTCATAAGAGAGCCCAAGATCAGACTATGGGCATATCACCATGAACACCACTTTATGGGACAACAATGATGATCTGATGCTGTTCGGCATGCCATATACTGGCATATATGTTGGAAGGATGTCTGCCCTTGGGGAAAGGACACCACAGGATCCGCACACAGAGTCTCCCACCTGCTGCCATCGGCTTTGCTTGGCGTGACTCGCAACTGCGCTTGCAGCACCTGCCAGCGCATCGCGCCGGACAGGCCTGTAGCCAAATTGCATCCAATGTTTCTGCACCGTATGCACTGGGATCTCACTGAACCATGCAGTCGCCTCACATTGATTGATGCGGACCGCGACGTCGTCACGAAGGAGGCACCAAGCAGCCATCCGCTCAGCGAGAGCAAGCTGAATAATTCCCGCCAGAAACACAAACACACTATCGACCAGACATGGTCCATAGGAACTTCCGATACTGGCGTAAGATAAGCGAAGACAATGATGCGCGACTCCTCACATGATCAATCCTTCCCACCCAAGCTATGCGGGTCCACTGGTTGATAAGATCAAAAACTGCGGGATACCAATGCCTCCACAGCCATGCAATGACCTTACGGGTGCACTTGCCGGTGACTAAAACATGATGATGCGATTGATGGTGGCGGAGTTGATGTTCATGATGCTTATGAAAAAGGATGACAAAAGAAATCATGATAAAAGTTGCAATTTGTATAATCGGGAAACATGATGGTGATGGTGACCATAACTATGGTGTTGCTGAGCATAACTGCGATGAATATGATAATGGTGGTGCTCATGCTTCTTATCATGAGGGTGACGATGGCAACGATAGTGATGATCATGGTGATGATCAGGATGATGCTGGTGATGTTGACGGAAAGAAAAAAACAGCACGTGCTTTTTATGAATATTTTCTCTAAACACTGTGACATGTTGGTAAACAGCCTACGCATGTGGATAATCATAGTGATGGTGTTAGTGCACTTTGTTGGTCAAGGTACGGCTGCTTCAATCGGTCCGCTCGTTTGCTTTTTCATGGTGGCATCCAACCCCTGAACCCGAGTTCATTTTATCGAACTTGGTTTGGATAAACAGCAAGAGGCGGAGCCACAATGTTCTTGCGCGTCTAAAGAAGTAAAAACTTGCATGCTTCAATGACATGGAACATCAAGGGACCTGCTAGAGTCGATGACGCCCGCCAACGCAAAAAAATGACTTCTGCAGTTCAACTCGGAAATCTTGCAGAATCCAAGCTGTCGCTCTGAAGCATTTCAAAGTTAGTGTTTTGAATGTTTGAAAGTCATTGCGGCTCAGATCCAGAACCGTTGCGAAACGGAAGCGTTCCAGCTCTGGAGAGTACTTGTTTGACAATAAACCCAAAAGAGAGGCTTCAATTTTTGGCGTGGTGCCAGAAAGCTTTCCAGTACAGAGTCCGAATTAAATGTTTTAAATTTCCCACACATGGCCAAAACATTTAAGCCATTTGGCAAGCCAAAAAACATAAACCTCAAAAACGTCAATCCTTCAAACTCTTATGCCAACCTGGAAATCTAAACTAAGCTTGCTTCAAAGCCTGCTTGGGTCGGAGCCGCCTCCACTGTTGGAATGGCTAGATGCTTGGTTTACATTGGCATTTCAAGATTGCCTGGCCAAGAAAGACACAGTTTGAAGCCACAGCCGGAGTTGCGCAGAAGAGGTCCTGTTGTATTTCAAGGTTGTTGTGTCTGTCACCTCGTGCTTCCACGTCCATGGCTGCCAGGGCCTTGAAAACTGCAACGAAAGAGAACGCCAAAGCTGTCAAAGTCGCCAAACAAAAGAAGAGGAGGTGGCATCTGTTGAG